GAGCAGAGGTAGAGCACGGTTGTTCCTTGACCTAAATCTCCTCGTTCGCGAAGGGCGCTCCTTGGATTGAACCTCTTGGCCACTATAAAATGAACCAGAGCCGAACATAATATGAACTGACCGCAACGTGACTCCGAGCGTTGACGACGGCGAACCGATAACACGAGGAGAAAACCCGGTCATTCTAAAAATCCATTTCCTTGCTTCTCAGCAGTACTTATTCAACGCCATTATTCTGAATTATTTCCCCGCTTTTATACTGCCTATAAATTAGTCTTTTACAACTCTCTTCTTTTTCATCGAGAAATATTTTCCGTGACTCCTCAACAAATCTGATCATTTAACAGATCTTATTTTTTTGTTTAATTTTTTCCCCATATTTGTTGATTTTATTCTCCACCATTCTGTCTCAGACCCAACAAGCCGACAGTGTATTTTGCCAACACTTTCATGAAACCTAGCGGCCTCGATCAAAATCAACCAAACAGTGCATTATGAACAACAAAACAAGAAAAGTGGTAGGTAATAAAAAAAGTAGTCACAGAAAAAATCCTGTACAAAAAGCTCGATAAATCCCACTGCTACTGAAAGTTAACAATTCCCAGTAAATATTTTTCAATGGTATTAACTACATTTCATTAAGCTACTTTCCTCTTTAAATCCTAATCCCTTTCGGGCCAGCTGTGGTCCACTAGAAAGTAATATGACAACACTTCCCTGTACTTCAAAGTTCCTTGAGCTGACCTTACATCTGAGAAGCGTGAAACGTACACTTTTAATATCGCCACCACACGAACCAGGAAAACGCGTTATCTAGCACCCCTGGAATTACCATAGTCCAAACAGTTCAGATGAATGGGCAGAAATCACACGAGTTAAAAAGAAATCCTAAGATGACTACGCAGATATCTTTCCACGGGTTCTCGGTTGGCAAAGAAAGTTTCTGAACACGAAAAGCACTGTAATTACTAGCCTTAATACTCCATGCAATATCTGCGTACAGCTACACGCGATTCTTGTATCAAGCGGTTACGTTAAACGACCGGTACAACAGATAATAATCTTCATTAGTTCAGATTTAAGGCACAAAAATGCAAATTTGCACTGGTAAAATAATGAATGTGCATATTATGGCCCGGAAAAGCCTGACGACATTCTGGTCAAAGAACCAACCACGGCCCCTTACAATTCATTTGCATTTTACACAGTTTGAGAGCAAAATTGTTGTGCTATTAGTCATGTTAGGGGAAAAAATCGTGAAGTTTGATTTGCACTAAATGCAAAGTGGGGTAAGAGTGCACCAGCGCGGGCTAAAATAAAATTCACACGAACCCCAACACTAAAATTTTCCGAAATCCTGTAAGTACTTACAGATAAAGCATGCTGAAGAATACTAGCAACTTCAACATTCTGGATCAACTTGTGCAATATATGCAATGTTGGCCCCAAATCATACGAGATTTAAATATGTTTCAACATTACGGCTTGACTATCTAAAATCGGTGACAGTGGTTAATTACCTTTAGTCAGAGACTCGTCAATTACCAAGTCAGGGTCGAAGTTCTTGTATTAGAACCAAGTCGTCCACTGTCTTAGGTGTAATTCATACGCACGGCGATCATGAATTTGACTTCATTCTCGTCTGGTTGTCATTATATTAATAAACTGTCATAAGAATTTTATTTTAAGATTAGTGGCTACAATTGGGGTGGAACACAAAACTTCTTGAATACCAAGTTACACGCAACACTGTTACAAACGCCTTTCACCAACATGGGCATGAATTAAATTTGTACTTCCATCAAACGGGAATGCGTATTGTAATTCTGTGCACTTGTTTTACATTCTAAGACATGGAATTATTCACCATTGGTAAGGAAAAAATAATTCAGGAGTCAAAAACTGTTATCATATTGCATGACTGCATGTCGCTAGTAAAATCATCCAAATTACAATTTCAGCTTATATCAGACACCAATTATTGTCATGCCAACAGGTATTACGCCTATACTAGGGATGGATTCAAGCAGACGTATTTCCAAAACAAAGAAATAATGTAAATTGATAATGGAAAAATCACGAACTTAAATAATCCACTAATTACTAAGTCTTCTTCATACCAATCTTAACAATAACAAGTTGATACAACGAAGCGTTGATATTCTGTGTTTGATACACATTCACAACAAAAACTAGAAAAGTGTTCCTATCAGCTTAGGCGTATGTCCGTCCGCATTTATATCCACACGTAACTCATAAATCGCTGAATGGATTTACAACAAATCTGATAAGCGAGAGTTTAAAAAAACGTGCCCGATACAGCCCAGTTTAAACAAAAGAAATAAATTAAAATTTGTTGTCTAAGAATTTCAAGCTACCTGGAAAAACTAGTCTGGCATGTATATTTCGTTATCCGTGACGTCTGGTAGAAATACATGGGCTTGTGACGAAAATTCTACATCTACCCCTGACAAGGCGTGCCTGATACAAAGCAAAACATCATCGCTCGAAACTACACGGGGCGCTCGTTACGTTTAAAATAGCTGGGAGACAGTGAACCGAGCGGAATCAAGCACACGGACAGTACATTATACGCTTCAACGCATGCTTTCGGTTTTGTGATTAAATAATATAAAGGTCAAATGCAGAGTTATAGGAATAATGCATAAAAACCATGCATGATTCAACGTTAATATAGACAGTGCATTGAACACGTAAATTCGGCCTATTATCACAGACAGAATATAATAAAGTTCATATACCGAGTACTTATTTAAAAAGGGGTGTTAACCAACTGAATGTCTGGAAATACACGACAAACTATGTTTCGATAAGAAAAGGAATTTTTTTAAACATGGCACTCGAGTTTCTAGAACACTTACTTCGTAATCGAAAGTTTAAGTTTTAACCTCTAACCAGAAAAGTGCTATAACTGATATAAATACTGGAATAACACAATGCAAACGACCACAATATCCCTTCCTATTTATAACTCAGATATGACCACTACCAAGTGTTGTATCAATTAACTGACGTTTATGTTTAACAATACGTGAGATCTCTGAAAAGATATAAATAACGCGCACTTCTTCAAAGATAGATTTTTGATAAACTTCTTACATTGTGCGAAAATATGGCTGAAAAGTCCCCAATGCCTTCCATCTTCCGACAATCTCCTTTTAAATTTATTGTCAACCCCTTCCACTGGCCGATCCACCTTGTACGGGGTCGTCCCACGTGCCTGTTTCCTTTATATTCCACACTCCGACTTCTCAACAGACGTAATTCCTGTTCTGTGCCCCTCAGTATTCAGTAAATAAAACATTAATGGCTTGGATTTTGCTTTCATTTCTCTCTGTAGGGGTCGGCATTAAATATTAGAACTGGTTTAAAATAGAGCCTGCTTCTAAATTGTTTTGCAATGTTTTGGTATTCCTTTGTTCCACATTATTCCTCTTGTAATTTTGTAGAACTTTGCAAATATTTTTAAAATATAAAATAAGCAAACAAACAAACTATTAACACTATAAAAAAGACAGTGTTATTATTTTGTTTGCTTATTTTATATTCTAATACACTACACGGTATGCGAAGTTTTTAAAAAATATTTTTAAACTGGTCTTCTTGTCGACTTTCATGTCACTTCATAACTACAGGATGGGTGGGAAGTAAGTACTCATTGAGAAATGGTTATAACCTCTATTTCCAACGCAAAACAATTATTTAATGCCTATTTATATACTTCTCGCCCACTCTGTACATTAGTACTTCAGAATAAAGATTGTTCAGAAATTACATAAACCCCTACACGTAACATAACAACATACAATTTCAAACGCTTAAAATAAAAGAAAGACACACGACATCGATACGTGTTTTTAAATAATATTTGTACTTCTTAATACGACCTAATTACGTCACGTACTAATGATTAGTACAGGTTGTTTCTCTTCTAAAAGTTTACAAGTTTTGTTTGACCTCTATCTGACCAAAACTTACTGGAACCAAAATTAATTTCGCCCGACATCATCTCAGAGAAATATGATTTGACATCCTCACAGCGGTGAAAATGTATATTTCCTGTCCTCGGGGTTGTAACGTCATAGTCTTGTACGCAGTAATAAATATTTCGAAAGAAAAAGTATCACTTCCATCTTCATGGTAGAAGACCAATCCAAATTTCCACCGTCGCAAAAAGTTCAAAACTCCAATAAGTAGACTTAATTTCTTAATTTTCTTTATTTGCGTATATTCTCTCCAGCCTTCAACTGTTTGCACTTTTATCTGTCACATGCCTTAAATTCGAAATCTCTGGAAATAAATCCCCTGGTTCACGTCATCCATTCATTATCACGATCAACAGTAAGTACAAACTTCAGAACCAAATCTTCTCGATTCTTTAAGGGCTCGCAGTTTATATAAAATGGTGGCAGGAGAGCAAGAGACAAGTATAAAAATAAGAGTCCATTCTATGTACTTCGAGCAAAGACCATACACATATTAGACGCTTTTACAATATTTATTCCGTTCAGATCAATAGAAAAAATTCCATAAGACTCAGACCTCATGGCGAATTCTTTGCAAGAAATTCATAGAACAAATCCGTTACGTCGAGGCCACAATCGACTGTCTGAATGCAACATCTCCGAAACCACTAAACAAAATTTTACATTTGGAGCCTAGCAACACAACTCACTACCTTGGGTCTTTGTATTGGAGCAAAGTTTAAAATGGCAATAAAGCATCTCCTTGTTTTATACCATTCTGAATAAGAAATAAATATATAGACAAATGTCAACTGCTATCACCCGATAAATAAATTAGCTGCTATACTCAGCGTGCGTGAGTGCAGACGAACTATCACGACCACTTATACAGAGCTGGGGTCAAATAGTTTCTATCATATTTCAATGATCTTGGTGGGAATTCGCGTCGGCTGGTTATGGCCCATCAATACGGCAATGACGTAAGCGATCAGAGATCAGAGGGCCAGCAAATACCTTGATAAACCGCTTCGCTTTCGTGAGGAGGCCCAGGGTAGTGTGTCTCGAAGCTTCTGGTCCCAGCGGTACCATCTCCTTCAACTTCTCCAAACAGTTCCGTAGATGAGCTCGCCTGAAACACATCATTCCCATAATTCAATTGGAGAAACAAACATCGAACAGTAACCCGTTAACCGGGAATACGTACACTTTGCGTTTAACAGTTTTATAATACAAGCTATCAAGTACATTTACATTTCCCTCCTTTTTCCCGAAGTGTCTCTTATGTACTTTACATTTAATTAAATATTGTGAAGGAGTTATTATCAACAGAATACTCGACTTCAAACACTTATGGTCAAATAAACTTCTCCATCACCCCATTTTGTCACCTTCCTTATTCGCACTAGATCAGAGCTGGATGTCAAAAATAAAACTGTATCTCGGTAGGATTTTAGGTTCTCAGGGCTGTGAGTCCGAAGACGGCTGTCTTCTAAGGTACTCGGTGCTTTCATTATCAGGGCGCTCTGAAACGTTGGCAAACTTCTACCAGACAACACAGCGCTACAGCCCAGAAAAAAACCATCTTCCTGTATTCTTTTTTTTACACTTCGTCCTCTGGGCTCTAACGCTGCGTGACCTGCGGATAGACAAGCCTACCAACGTTTCGGAGTAACACAAAATCTGCACGTCGTCCTGAAGAACGAAAACAGTTTACACCTCCGAAACGTAGGTATCTACCTACAAGACCACACGGTGTTTCAGCCCAGATCGACACCATGATCACATGTTCATCGCCCTGAGAACGTAAACACGGTAATGAACATTTGGGTTCCATGAAAGCAACGAATTTCTTCATGAGCTAAGCGGCTATTAAATTATAATTAGAAATTCGCTACATGGATTTAATCAACCAGTTAAAAAGTTTTGGGTAATTGTACCTCTCGCAGGTGTGTTAAAACGTAACCACATAAAAATATAATGAAGAATGATAATTCACCATCACACCAGCTAAAGGACTTGGCGGGGGAAAGGCTGTCTTTTCACCAACAAACAACCATGAAGTTACTAAATATTACAAAAAAGCCACATAATAGGCCGATTCTTTGACGAGAAATTGCTGGACTATCTGAGCAACCACAGCTTATAAAGGACTCTGCACCAGACAAGAAAAACAACATACCGAAATATTTCGCGAGGTCACCAGGTTCTAACTTACCATATTTTTAAACAAAAAAAATGGCGGCTGAGTTGTAGATGTTTCTGATCGTCCACTGTCACGTGCCCTCGCGAGCCAATCAGTTTTAGTCACTTGCTGTACGCCCACTCGTGCAGTAATGCTGTTGATGTTACGCGGTAATGTTGTGTTTGTGGCATATCGGGTGAATGTCACACGTTTGAGCGAAGGAAATTGTTGATTTTCAGCATCAGATACGAGGTATAAATGTCGGTGGCGCCACTTTCTACACAGGCAGGCCAAAGAGCTGGTGTATAAAGCATTCACTTACTTCAAACGTGAAACAGATGTCAACATGCCAGTTCATGAAACTGCCTGCTGGACTGTGTTGTACAGGGAATGCAAGTGCTCAAAGAATTATTGGAGAGGGAAACGTCGCCATTTGTATATCTATCTCTTTCTTTCTCTGCGAGCCACCACCTTCGGCCACGTCACTCACTTTGTGATTTGGTGTAATAATAAGTATCAGGCCCATATGAAAATGGATGTCTTGCCCTCGGGATGAGAATATTCTTCACAATCGCCACGGCCATACTAGCAGAAGAGAATAGCAAAAAGATCTTTCTTATGCATAGGCCTGAAACT